GGGGGGGTGGGGGTGTGGGGGCGGCACATCGCTGAGACACTGCTGTGTCCCAGGTGAGGGCCAGCCAGCCAGCTGGGAGGCACCTCGACCCTGCCGGGGGCTGAGGGCAGCGGGGGCTTGGGGTGGGCAAGGCCTTAGAGGGTCATCCAGGGCCACCCGGCAGGGGTCATGGGCCAGGTGACGAAAGCATCTCCCAGGCTGACCCCACAGCTACCGGATGACTCCCAACCCCGCTGCTACCCAGACTGGGTCTGCGTGACCTCGAGCCCCTCAGGGCCCCCACTGTGGACACACAGAACAGACCGAGGCACACGTGGGTGGTCAGACCGTGGCCTGGAAACCAGAGCCCCAGACTAAACAAGGGGCCCATCCCCTGTAGGGGAAGTTCAGAAATAAACCAGCGCCGGACAGGCTCGTCGTCCTGCCCCGTGTGTCTGTCTGTCTGTTCCTGGTTAGGCCCCAGCCCTCTCTCTGATTTTGGGTCCGGCCAATGCTGCAGGGAGGCCCCACCCTGCCCCCGGGCCAGATTACTCTGGGAGCTCCGGCTGCATCTCCATCCCTCTTACTGCAGGGCTGGGCATCCCCCGGGTGGCCTCCCAATGCCGGGCAGGGATGGGTGTCCCTCGGGACTCTGTGTGCGCCTGCCCTGTCTGGGCTGATGTGGGGTGGACCATAGGAGGGGGTCCATCTGGGACAGCGTTGGCTTCTAGTCTGGCTGAGAGCCAGGTGTGGGGCACGGGCAGGTGGTCAGAGCTGTCGCCTCTGGCCGCCGACCCAGGCCTGGGGGCCCGTGACCCTGCGAGGCCGGCTCTGTGAGGGTGGGGCTGGACGGGCCTTTCCCTGGTTCTCACCTGAGGGGCCTGGGGCCTGGCCTCCGGGGCCACGTGGGGACAGATGCCTGACACCCGTACCCTCCTTTGCCCCCAGATCCTGTTTGACCAGGCCCAGAGGTCTGTGCGGCAGCAGCTCCACAACTTCGTCAAAGAGTGAGTGGCCCCGATGGAGGCCTGGCCTCTCCCGGCCCCGGGAGGTGTCAGGGTGACACCCACGTCGGAGGGGGGAGCAGACGCAGCTGCGCTTGATCTGGGAGGGTCCAGGGGTCTTGGCAGGGGTCTCAGCTCAGTGCTGTGTGTACAGCTGGGGACGCCCCGAGCGGAGAGTCTGGAGTGGGGTGAGGCTGGGGGTCCCCCCAGGCTGGGCCAATCCCGGGAGCGAGGGGGAGGGGCCTGAGGAGGAAGAGGCAGCGGGCGGTGGCTGGGGGGTGGGGCACAGAGGGGCTGGGAGCAGGGAGGGCGTTCCCATAGGCGGGAGGCCCCACGGGCACCCCTCCTCGGGCCTCCTGACCTGACGCCCGCCGGCCTCCAGAGACGTGCGCAAGTTCAAGGAGACCAAGAAACAGTTCGACAGGGTCCGGGAGGACATGGAGCTGTCACTGGCGAGGAACGCGCAGGCCCCGAGGCACCGGCCGCACGAGGCGGAGGAGGCCGCGGGTGCCCTGGTCCTCGCCCGGAAGTGCTTCCGCCACCTGGCGCTGGACTACGTGCTCCAGGTCAGCCCCTGGGCGTTCCCGTGTCCCTGCAGACGGGGAGCTGCTGTCTGGAGGGGTCCCTCTGGCTTGAGAAAACTTGAGATGCTTGGGAACGGACATGGGGGGCGGATGCCCAGGCAAAGGCCCGAGGTGGGGATGGGCTAGGGGCAAGCCAGGGCTGTGGGCTGCAGCGGGCGGAGGCCTCGAAGGCCTTGCTGAGGCAGGGCTTGTGGGGACTTGGAGCAAGGGAGAGAATTTGTGGCTCTTGCCTATGGGAGGGACCCAGTGTCCTGAACTGCGACCACGAGAGGATGGATGGGCACCAGTTCAGGGAGCTAAAGATGAGCTGGAGATCTTGGGAGACCACAGCACCCCGAGTGGACAGTGTGGCGAGGTCCGGGTCGTGGTCCGACCTCGGCCCTGACGCCGCCCCACCTGCTCACCCCTCCCCCGGCAGATCAACGTTCTCCAGGCCAAGAAAAAGTTTGAGATCTTGGATTCTGTGAGTGCTGGGTGGGGGGCGGGGTGGCCCTCGATGGTGGGCGCGTGCCGCAGGCGAGCTGGGGTGGGTGCAGGAGCCGTGCCACAGCCACTGCCCCTGGGGGCGGGGCCTCACCTGCGTGCCCCGCCCCCCAGATGCTGTCCTTCATGCACGCCCAGTACAGCTTCTTCCAGCAGGGCTACAGCCTGCTGCACCAGCTGGACCCCTACATGAGGAAGCTGGCGGCCGAGGTGAGCCTGCGGGGAGGGGCGGGGCCAGCTTGTCCGGGGAGGGGGTCCACGTCCCCCTCTGTGCCCTTCCCCACAGCTGGACCAGCTGGTGATCGACTCGGCAGTGGAAAAGCGGGAGATGGAGCGCAAGCACGCCGCCATCCAGCAGCGGGTGAGGCCCCGCAGCCCTGGCCGCCCCCCGAGGGGCCCCGGGTCCACTGCCCCTCACCCCGCTCCACGCGAGGACCTGGGGGTCCCAGCGCACAGACACGCGCCCCGTCCCTCCCCGGGCTGACGGTGATCTGTCTTTGAACTGCAGTCAGAGGCGGGGGTCCCCACCCTCAGAGTCCCAGCACAGTGGAACGGTCACTTAGACGCCAGTGCCAGCGCCCTCAGCCCACAGACGCTGGGGCTGCAGCTGGGACGGGGATCCTACTGCGGCCGCAGCTGGCCGGGCGCGGCCCGGGGCAGAGACGGGCTGCGGGGCGGGAGCTGACAGTCCCCAGCCGGCAGGGAGGGGGCAGGGCTCCACTCACTGGCTCTCTCCCTCCTCCCGCCTCGCCTCTCCTGCTCTCGCCCTCAGACGCTGCTGCAGGTGAGTGGGCGCCCACCCTGGGGGGAGGGGGCTCCCGGTGGGCAGGGCCTCTGCCCTTCCCGACCCGCGGCGTTTCAGCACCAAGGACACCTCCATGGCCCCGGCGCAGCTCCTGACGCGCGGCCCGCTCCAGCGGAGGTGGCTGAGCTGGGACCGCGTCCCCTTCGTCCCCTTCGTCCCCTTCGTCCCCTTCGTCCCCTTCGGGAGCAGCTGCAGCTGTCCCTTCCCGCCCCCACTCAGCCAGGGGAGCAGGTGGCCGGGCCTCCTCTCCCACTGCCGGACGCCCAGGACAACGCTCAGTGTCTCCCCAGCCCGCGTGAATGGAGCTCTGTCAGGATGGTCGGGGCAGCCCAGCTGGCGACATGAATGGGGCACGGCTTCCTTCCTGATCCCAGAGCCTGCTGCTCTGCCAGGCTGGGGGGTGGGGGCTGGAGCTCTCTGGGCCCCCAGCTGTGACGGGAGGCATCTGCCCCCACGGGGTTTCAGGTCAGGAAGCGGCCGTGAAGACGCCCCCCCACCTCGCCTCTGGGGCAGCCCGAGAGGGCGGCAGTGTCCCCGCAGCCGCGGGTGGGTGCTCACTGGGGGCCGGGCTCCGACCACCCCCAGGACTTCTCCTACGATGAGCCCAAGGTGGAGTTTGACGTGGACGCCCCCAGCGGCGTGGTGATGGAGGGCTACCTCTTCAAGAGGGCCAGCAATGCCTTCAAGACGTGGAACCGGTGAGGGGGGCCCTTCCCCAGGGAGTGCGGGGCAGGCCCGGGGGCCGGCCTGGCCTGACCTCCCCGGACCCATCCCCCTGCCCAGGCGATGGTTCTCCATCCAGAACAGCCAGCTGGTCTACCAGAAAAAGCTCAAGGTGCGCTGGGCCCAGGCAGCAGTGCCCGGGGCCTCCCCGCCGGGCCTTGGGGTGGGTGACCGGTGGGGGGCGTCACAGGGCTGAGGGTGCTGATGGGCACCAAAGCCCGAGTGGCCAGGGGCAGAGGCCACTCGAGTCTCAGGCAGTCGGCGTCTCTTGAGCAGAGCAGTGGATGGGCGGTTGGTGCGGGGCAGGGCTGGGCGCTGAGTGCGAGGGCCACGGCGGTGCCGCCCGCAGGACGTGCTGACCGTGGTGGTGGACGACCTCCGGCTCTGTTCCGTGAAGCCCTGTGAGGACGTCGAGCGCAGGTTCTGCTTTGAGGTCGTGTCGCCCACCAAGTGAGGAGGCCCGGCCCAGGGCGGGCGTGGAGGGAGCCCCTGCCTGCGCGGCCTGACGGCCCCTCCCCGCAGGAGCTGCATGCTGCAGGCCGACTCGGAGAAGCTGCGGCAGGCGTGGGTTCAGGCTGTGCAAGCCAGCATCGCGTCCGCCTACAGGGAGAGCCCCGACAGCTGCTACCGCGAGGTGGGCCCTCCAGCGCCCTGCACACGCGTGCACAGCTCCCGCAGGCCGCACGCGAGCACGCGTGTGCGTTGTGTGTACGCGCACGTGAGCGTGTGTGCACACATGCGGGCGCGGGCTCGGGCCTCAGGGGCCTTGGCCGGCACCTGCGTCTGGGGAGGAGGAGGGGCCCTGCTGGGGAGACTGGGGCTGGAGCTCCCGTGGGGCTGAGCGACCCCTCACCCTGTCTCCAGAGGCTGGACCGCATGGCGTCCCCGTCCACAAGCAGCATCGACTCTGCCACGGACTCTCGGGAACGCAGCGTCAAGGGCGAGAGTGTGCTGCAGCGCATGCAGCATGTGGCTGGGAACAGCCAGTGCGGCGACTGCGGGCGGCCGGACCCGCGCTGGGCCAGCATCAACCTGGGCGTGCTGCTCTGCATCGAGTGCTCGGGCATCCACAGGTGGGGCCACTGGGTGGTCAGGTGGGGCGCGGGGGCCAAGGCGTGCCCTGACTCCCCCTCCCCCTGCCTCGCCATCCAGGAGCCTGGGCGTCCACTGTTCCAAGGTGCGGTCCCTGACCCTGGACTCGTGGGAGCCGGAGCTGCTGAAGGTGTGGGGGGGCCGTCACAGGCCTCTGGATGGCTGGGGGCAGCGGGTCGGGCGCGGGAGCCAGGTCTGCAAGCTTGGGGGTGTTCAGTGAGCTGGGCTGATGCCCGCACCACCCTCTCCTGCCAGCTGATGTGTGAGCTGGGAAACAGCACCATGAACCAGATCTACGAGGCCCAGTGCGCAGGGCCGGGCAGCAGGAAGCCCACGGCCAGCAGCCCCAGGTGAGGTGGGGGGCAGCCTGGGCAGGGCCAGGGGACCCCCGGCCCGCGAGTGCAGCCTCACGTCCGGTCCTGGTCCAGGCAGGACAAGGAGGCTTGGATCAAGGACAAGTACGTGGAAAAGAAGTTCGTGCGGAAGCCGCCCTCGGCACCGGCCCGGGAGGCCCCACGGCGCTGGCGGGCGCAGAAGTGCCAGCGCCACCACAGCTCCCCCCGCGCCCACACCACCCGCCGCAGCAAAATCCGCACGGAGCCCATCCCGCCCTCTGTGGCTGCTCTGTGCTCAGGTGGGAGGGGCTGGCAGGTGCGCCCCAGCTCACAGGCCTGGGCAGGGCGTGAGCCTCCAGACCCTGGACCCCAGGGAGGCCGCGGTGTGGGGGGGCGGTAGGAGCGGGGGCAGGGCTCACGGGCGGCCCACGCTCTGCCCACCCCCACCGCAGCCTGGCTCCCGCCCTGCAGGCTCCTCAGGGCCCCGGTTCCGCAGGGACTCCCTCTTCTGCCCAGACGAGCTGGACTCTCTCTTCTCCTACTTCGACGCGGGGGCCGCTGCAGCCGGTCCGCGCAGTGAGTCCCCTGCCGCCCACCCCGCCACCCACACCCCCGCCCAGCAGGGGCAGCAGGGCAGGGGCCAGGCACGCTCGCCTGGAGGGCGGATGAGCGCGGGACAGCCGCGGCCGCTCGCTCAGGGCCCGGAGGGACGGGCTTTTCTTGCAGGAGGGACTGGGCTGGGGACGGGGAGAGTTTGGAGGTCAAGCAGGGCTGAGGCTGGGACAGTGTCTTGAGGGGCCGCGGGTAATTTGGCCACTGGCTTGGAGGCTGGGGCCATGACCCTCAGGAGTGCTGTGGGCCCACAGGAATGTGTGTGTAAGGGCGTGACTGTGCACACAGGTGAACGCCTGCGAGTGCACGTGCATACACGTGTATATGCGTGGGCGTGTACCCATGCACGTGTGCACGTGCCTGCTGGGGGCCAGACCAGACCCTGAGAGACAGTTGTGTGCATCTTCCCCAACCCCTTCTGGAGTTGGGGGTGCAGATGCTGCAAGTCAGGGCTCTCCCCCTGTTAACCGCCTGTCAGCACCCACTGGCCCGGGGCGTGTGGGCAGAAGGCGTAGGTTGGGGCCAGGAACTGGCCGGGCTGCTGGGGTGACGGAGGTCCCCTCAGGCAGCAGAGGGCGCTGTCTCACCATCCCTCAGCCTGGTTTCATCTGTGAGGGCTGCCCTTGGGTGAGCAGGGCCAAGTTCGCTCGCTGTGGCCTGGGGCTGTGTCTGGGGCTTGGTAAAGACCCCACCTCTGGGCGGTGACCGCCCCGCCTGCACTGGCCACAGTTAGGGCTGACCTGAGAGGGCGGGCTGCCACCTGCGGCTCTGCTCCTGGGGGACGGGCGGTCCTGGCTCCCTCAAGCTGTTACTTGGTTCTCCCCCCTTTCCTCCCATCCTGGGCAGGGCTCCCCTCTGTCTCAACCCCCAGCATCCCCCGGAGGGTGGGTGGGGTGCCAGCCTTTCCGCAGGGCTGTGGGAGCAGAGGCAGAAGCGCTCAGGACCTCCTCTGCTTGCGGACCCTGCAGGTCTGAGCAGCGACAGTGGCTTAGGGGGCAGCTCCGACGGCAGCTCGGATGTCCTGGCCTTCGGCGTGGGCTCCGCGGTGCACCGCGTCACTGAGGAGGGTGGGTGCGCAGCTCCCCAGTCCCGGGCCACCTGTCCCCCACCGCAGGCCAGGTCAGCGGCCCTGACCGCCCCCTCCTCGCAGAGGGTGCCGAGTCGGAGGAGTCCAGCGGCGAGGCGGAAGGAGAGGCGGAGGCCTGGGGCCTGGCGGACGTGCGCGAGCTGCACCCCGGGCTACTGGCGCACCGCGCGGCGCGCACTAGAGACCTCCCGGCACTGGCCGCGGCTCTGGCGCAAGGAGCCGAGGTCAACTGGGCTGACGCGGAGGACGAGGGCAAGACGCCACTGGTGCAGGCCGTGCTGGGGGTAAGTGGGCGCGCACGCGGGGCCCTTGCCCTCCGCTGAGGACCGGGCTTGGTCCTGCTGGGGCGCCCAGGGTGGCGTAGGGGGGTGGGCTTGGGGGGTAGGGGGTGGGGGGACAG